CACACACACACACACACACACACACACACACACACACACAAGAAAAGTCGTCGTAACATCGAAACGTCTGTACGTGTTCCTTAATTCGGAGAATAATTTTCCGGCTGCAGAGACCTGTATCTGCGGTGTAATTGTTAGCCACTATGTCGTTTCTTGCAAAAGGTGTGAGTTCGACTACAGCGTAGTGGGTGGTTGGCGGGTGCTCTAGTGTGGTTTGCTCCTATTTTCCTGTAAAAAATCCATCGTCTCCATCTCCCCTCCTTTTTATGTTTGTTACTCTCTTGTAACACCTCTAATCTTCGGCACTTACGTATATGACCTTATTGTGTTGCAAGTGCCGTAAAACACTTACTAAAACTAAAACTGACTACAGCGTAGTGTAGTGTCCTAGCGAGTATCTCCATTTTCTTGTGGAATACTCTAGACAGATACAACATTGGGAAAGAAAATTAGCGCCATTGTCAGATCCTTCTTCTTTTCTTTCTCTCTGCTTTTTTTCTGTCTTGCTTCTCCCTTCCACTTAATGACCGTTATAATGCCGAAGTGCTTCTCTTTACTCAAACTCACGCAGTGGGTGGTTGGTGGGTACTCTGGTGTGGTTTGCTTCTTCTTTCCTATCAAACATATATCGTCTTTATCTCCCCTCCTTCTTTTTTTGTGTTTGTTACTCTCTTGTAACACCTCTAATTTTCGGCACTTATATGACCTTATTGTATTGCAAGTGCCGCTAGACACTTACTAAAAACTAAAACTATCCTACTTAGCCCATGGTTGATCAGACGGGCACGGTTGAAACAACCCGCCTCCATAATTACCTAAATGTATTGTCCTGATAGTGACATAAAACGTGTTCAATCTTTTCTACAGTTGGCTCTGAGTCTTGGGACCAGTTGAGGCTCACTGACCCACTCTGAACACAAACGTATTTGTACGTGTTTAACGCGCTCATTCAGACTATGTATTATGTGGTCGCTTTTTAGCACACAGTGCTGTTTTGAGAAAAACGAAGGTAAAGTTTTTGCCCCTTGTTCAGTTTCATTAAAAGACAAGGAGCATTTTGCCCATAACCAAACACTAAATATACACACCAATAAAACCAAACTTCTCCTTCAGGTAGGGCCATTCCCACTTTTGGTGTAGGTCCAGATTTCTGGAAACCCGTTTGTCCTTAAAAGCGACCATGCCATGTATATCATTTAGGAGGCGCGCAGGCTCGAATTGCCCGTCAACGAACCTGGGCATAGATTGTGTTTTGGTAGTATGAATGTCCTACTTCTTTGCTTTCCCTCTGTTGTTTCTGACTGTCTGTTTGTCTTACTTTTTCACAGCACTAAATGACCATTACATTACTGTGTCTATGTGCTTCTCATTTCACAAACAAACAAACGAAGGTATTTTAGAGCGGTAAGAGCTGTATTGTACAGAGTGGGAGCTGTAGTAATTATTATTATTATTATTATTATTATTATTA